TGTAAAATATTCATTGTTCTCTTAGTTCTATAGCTGTAGGATATTCATTGTTCTCTTAGTTCTATAGCTGTACAATATTCATTGTTCTCTAAGTTCTAGAGCTGTAGGATATTCATTGTTCTCTAAGTACTAGAGCTGTAGGATATTCAATGTTCTCTAAGTTCTATAGCTGCAGGATATTCATTGTTCTCTTACTTCTATAGCTGTACAATATATTGTTCTCTAAGTTCTAGATCTGTAGGATATTCATTGTTCTCAAATTTCTATAGCTGTACAATATTCATTTTTCTATAAGTTCTTGAGCTTTAGGATATTCATTGTTCTCAAATTTCTATAGCTGTACAATATTCATTGTTCTCTAAGTGCTATAGCTGTAGGATATTCACTGTTCTCTTAGTTCTATAGCTGTACAATATATTATTCTCTAAGTTCTAGAGCTGTACAATATCCATTGTTCTCTAAGTTCTAGATCTGTAGGATATTCATTGTTGTCTAAGTTCTAGAGCTGTAGGATATACATTGTTCTCTAAGTTCTAGATCTGTAGGATATTCATTGTTCTCTTACTTCTATAGCTGTACAATATATTGTTCTCTAAGTTCTAGATCTTGACAATATTTATTGTTCTCTAAGTTCTAGATCTGTAGGATATTCATTGTTCTCAAAGTTCCATAGCTGTACAATATTCATTGTTCTCTAAGTACTAGAGCTGTAGGATATTCATTGTTCTCTAAGTTCTATAGCTGTAGAGTTTTCATTGTTCTCTAAGTTCTAGAGCTGTAGGATATTCATTGTTCTCTAAGTTCCAGAGCTGTAGGATATTCATTTTTCTCTAAGTTCTATAGCTCTAGGATATTCATTGTTCTCTAAGTTCAAAGCTGTAGGATATTCATTGATCTCTAAGTTCTATAGCTGTAGGATATTCATTGTTCTCTAAGTTCTATAGCTGTACAATGTCGATTGTTCTCTAAGTTCTAGAGCTGTAGGATATTCATTGTTCTCTAAGTTCTATAGCTGTAGGATATTCATTGTTCTCAAAGTTCTATAGCTGTACAATATCCATTGTTCTCTAAGTTCTAGAGCTGTACAATATTTATTGTTCTTTAAGTTCTAGAGCTGTAGGATCTTCATTGTTCTCTAAGTTCTATAGATGTACAATATTTATTGTTCTTTAAGTTCTAGAGCTGTACAATATTCATTGTTCTCTAACTTCTAGAGCTGTAGGATATTTATTGTTCTCTAAGGTCTAGAGCTGTAGGATATTCATAGTTCTCTAAGTTCTATAGCTGTAGTATATTCATTGTTCTCAAAGTTCCATAGCTGTACAATATCCATTGTTGTCGAAGTTCTAGAGCTGTACAATATTTATTGTTTTCTAATTTCTATAGCTGTACAATATTCATTGTTCTCTAACTTCTAGAGCTGTAGGATATGTATGTTCTCTAAGTTCTATAGATGTACAATATTTATTGTTCTTTAAGTTCTAGAGCTGTACAATATTCATTGTTCTCTAAGTGCTAGAGCTGTAGGATATTCATTGTTCTGTAAGTTCTAGAGCTGTAGGATCTTCATTGTTCTCTAAGTTCCAGAGCTGTAGGATATTCATTTTTCTCTAAGTTCTATAGCTCTAGGATATTCATTGTTCTCAAAGTTCCATAGCTGTACAATATCCATTGTTGTCGAAGTTCTAGAGCTGTACAATATTCACTGTAGGCTATTCATTGTTCTCAAAGTTCCATAGCTGTACAATATCCATTGTTGTCGAAGTTCTAGAGCTGTACAATATCCATTGTTGTCGAAGTTCTAGAGCTGTACAATCTTTATTGTTCTCTAAGTTCTCTAGCTGTACAATATTTATTGTTCTTTAAGTTCTAGAGCTGTAGGATCTTCATTGTTCTCTAAGTTCCAGAGCTGTAGGATATTCATAGTTCTCTAAGTTCTATAGCTGAAGGATATTCATTGTTCTCTAAGTTATATAGCTGTATAATATTTATTGTTCTCTAAGGTCTAGAGCTGTAGGATATTCATAGTTCTCTAAGTTCTATAGCTCTAGGATATTCATTGTTCTCTAAGTTATATAGCTGTATAATATTTATTGTTCTCTAAGATCTATAGCTGTACAATATTCATTGTTCTCTAAGTTATATAGCTGTAGGATATTCATTTTTCTCTAAGTTCTAGAGCTGTATGATATTCATTGTTCTATAAGTTCTATAGCTGTAGGATATTAATTGTTCTCTAAGTTCTATAACTGTAGGATATTCATTGTTCTCTGAGTTCTATAGCTGTACAATATATTGTTCTCTAAGTTCTATAGATGTACAATATTTATTGTTCTTTAAGTTCTAGAGCTGTAGGATATTTATTGTTCTCTAAGTTCTCTAGCTGTACAATATTTGTTGGTCTCTAAGTTCTAGAGCTGTAGAATATTTATTGTTCTCTAAGTTCTATAGATGTAGGATATTCATTGTTCTGTAAGTTCTAGAGCTGTAGGATATTTATTGTTCTCTAAGTTCTCTAGCTGTACAATATTTATTGTTCTCTAAGTTCTCGAGCTGTAGGATATTCATTTTTCTCTAAGTTCTATAGCTGTAGGATATTTATTGTTCTCTAAGTCCTAGAGCTGTACAATATCCATTGTTGTCGAAGTTCTAGAGCTGTACAATATTCACTGTAGGCTATTCATTGTTCTCAAAGTTCCATAGCTGTACAATATCCATTGTTGTCGAAGTTCTAGAGCTGTACAATATCCATTGTTGTCGAAGTTCTAGAGCTGTACAATATTTATTCTTCTTTAAGTTCTAGAGCTGTACAATATTTATTCTTCTTTAAGTTCTAGAGCTGTACAATATCCATTGTTGTCGAAGTTCTAGAGCTGTACAATATTTATTGTTCTATAAGTTCTATAGCTGTACAGTGTCCATTGTTCTCTAAGTTCTATAGCTGAAGGATATTCATTGTTCTCTAATTTCTAGAGCTGTACGATATTCATTGTTCTCTAATTTCTAGAGCTGTACGATATTCATTGTTCTCTAAGTTCTCGAGCTGTAGGATATTCATTATTCTCAAAGTTCTATAGCTGTACAATATATTGTTCTCTAAGTTCTATAGATGTACAATATTTATTGTTCTCTAAGATCTATAGCTGTACAATATTCATTGTTCTCTAACTTCTAGAGCTGTAGGATATTTATTGTTCTCTAAGTTCTATAGCTGTTCAATATTTATTGTTCTCTAAGGTCTAGAGCTGTAGGATATTCCTTGGTCTCTAAGTTCTAGAGCTGTACAATCTTTATTGTTCTCTAAGTTCTCTAGCTGTACAATATTTATTGTTTTCTAATTTCTATAGCTGTAGGATATTTATTGTTCTCTAAGTTCTCTAGCTGTACAATATTTGTTGGTCTCTAAGTTCTAGAGCTGTACAATCTTTATTGTTCTCTAAGTTCTCTAGCTGTACAATATTTGTTGGTCTCTAAGTTCTAGAGCTGTAGAATATTTATTGTTCTCTAAGCTCTATAGCTGAAGGATATTCATTGTTCTCTGAGTTCTATAGCTGTACAATGTCCATTGATCTCTAAGTTCTAGAGCTGTAGGATCTTCATTGTTCTCTAAGTTCCAGAGCTGTAGGATATTCATAGTTCTCTAAGTTCTATAGCTGTACAATGTCCATTGATCTCTAAGTTCTAGAGCTGTACAATCTTTATTGTTCTCTAAGTTCTCTAGCTGTACAATATTTATTCTTCTTTAAGTTCTAGAGCTGTACAATATTTATTGTTTTCTAATTTCTATAGCTGTAGGATATTTATTGTTCTCTAAGGTCTAGAGCTGTAGGATATTTATTGTTCTCTAAGTCCTAGAGCTGTACAATATCCATTATTCTCTAAGTTCTATAGCTGTACAATGTCCATTGATCTCTAAGTTCTAGAGCTGTCCAATATCCAATGTTCTCTAAGTTCTAGAGCTGTATGATATTCATTGTTCTCTAATTTCTATAGCTGTAGGATATTCATTGTTCTCTAAGTTCTACCTCTGTAGAATACTCATTGTGCTCAAATATCTTGAGATGTAGAATGTTCCAAACATGTAAAGTTTTAATTGTTCTAAATGTGCTACAGGTTTACGTTTTTTTATTGTTCTCGTTGTTCAATAGATGAAGTTGTTTCATTGCTCTCGATTGTCACCAATCGTACTTCGAGAAGGTTTCGAACTTTAAGGAGTGAAGTGATACCCATTTTGTTCTCGGCAGATGATAGATACATACTGTTATATGTATGATTGTTCCACAATCTATTACGAGATATACATGCATATATGCTCGAACATTAAGATCACGGACATTTCCTGCCTAAGAATATTTCAGGCTGACGAGTTTTCGACCTCGTGTAGCAGATTGATATGAATTGTCCGTACTGTGACTTTTCCGTAATATCCGAGTCTACATTTAATTTTTACGTCTATTAGTAATTTGCATGCATATATACACAGACATTCTTCATGTTTAATTACTTTTGTAATACATTTCGCGTATAAAATACATAGAAAAATGTGTACGTTAGATTTTCATTCCTTCGGACATTGTGGTATATATATTTCAAAGACGGAATCATTACACAATCTCGTTAGAGAAAACTATAGCTCTATTGCCCCGTACAATTTGTACTTCGCGAGAACAAAGTGTGTTGTTTATATCCAAGTCAAGTTATTGTCTTACTTTCCTGATACATGTACCTTATAAATCATTGGTACAATTACTTACCTGCGTGATACCTTTTAAATGATAAGTATAATTACTTTTCTGATACTTTATGAATGATTTCTATAATCGGTTCGTTTGAGAGCTCATTATTTTGTAAATAAAATTCATTTGAATTCAATATATCTGTATTGAGATAGCCATATTGCGCGAAATAGAGTTGCGTATGAGACATGTCATAATTTGTACTATGATAAATCAACTTTATTTTAACTTATTGAAATTTCAGCGTTCTATTGTATGTCTTACCTTGTAGGTACCGGATGAGGTAACACATGGTTTCCCCAAAGATGAAATTCTTGAGCATCATTGGTACAATGGTGAAGGGCATACAGAATACAGCCAAGAGCAGATCACTCACAGACAAATTCAACAGGAACACGTTTGTCACTGTCCTCATCCGTTTGTTCTGTATAAGGGTCAAGATGACCAAGGCGTTTCCCAGCACGGCCAGAATGAAGATTTGAATGTACAGGGGGATGAGAAGTATCCATAACCAGTTGAGTGTAGGCGGGGACCACGGAAGAAATCTTTCCAGTACGGGATCGACGGTCATGTTGGCAAAACTTCCGTTAATTGTAGAATTTTCCCAACCGGAAATATTATCAAAAGATTGAGTAACGTTCCACAACGTCAACTGTTTTACTTTTATAAGCAGGAGAGGTGCGTCACTAAGCATATCGCTAATATTACCTATGTCCGTCGCCATTTTGTCGTTATATGGTCGATTTTCTTTTTGGTTTATTCACTCATGTTTTATTATCATCCCGTAGATTTGGAATTATTCTATCATAATCCCTTTCTCACCATTATCCCAAACGCAATTTACACCATTCACAAAAAGTGGCAATTTAAGTTGACATCCAGTTTGAAAAAAAAAAAAAGGTTTTCACGGTTTCCTCAACGTTTCAAGCAACGTGTACCTGACGCGGTTTGGAGGATCTACTGGCGAGTGGGTGAGTGTGCTCTCTCAAATATCAGCGCTACAAACTCACGCGCATGATCGTGAGGACACGGCGGTAGTATTGATTATAAAGCTGTCTATAGCAGGTGGGTGTTTTAAACAGTTCGTACACTATATGAGCTATCGATGACTGATCCCCGTCATGTCCAATAGAAACGGGACTCGGCTAGCATCGATACACTGTATATAATATAACTCTGTACATACCAAAGTATTTAGACGAAAGGATGGTAACTTAACGATGGTCAAACACCATTGAATGAATTAGCTGTAATGAGCTACCAAGCATAGGTCTTGTGTCTTCATAATGAAATAATTGGTTTCTAGTCCAATTGGATGCATAATAAGTATAGTTCTACTGTCCGGTAGCTATATTTAGAGTTGAGGCTCGCTACATGACCTATATATTACTATCGTCGCTCCAAGTATTCCAACTCTAAGAAATACACTAGTATTGGTGTAAAGTCCGGATATAATAAACCGTGAAATGTGTATTGGCAAGTAATATTTCATGTCATTTTTCCTTTGATAAGTTCATCCACTGGGCGTGTTTAATATTTCAAATAGCTACAGACGCATGGGGGTAGGCGTATATCATGTACGGATCAATATGGCGCGTGTGTAGTGAAAATTATTGAATTAACTTCAAGTAAATGTTAATTAAGCGGTCACTTGCCTGATAACGAGAGGAAGCACGGAGCGGATAGACTCGGTAAAGGGTATGGTTTGTGTATCAGTGATCCCTGTCACTAGTAACCACTAAATAACTCCACCCTACATTAACTGAAGCTAACATGTGCTGAAAAGCTTCCCAATAATACACAAATGTGTCTTAATATGAATTTACCATTATCCACAGGGAACATAAATTTTGATATTATACCTGTATACCCCAGCTCACCATTACAATTTCCATTGTTTAATGTATGTTTATGACACACAATCCCAACACCTATTCCATTATGGTGTTGTATCATCAACGCGAAATATATCATTTGGGGTGTGATTAATATAAAAGTATTTAAGTCCCTACTTCCGCCTGCATAAATAATCGCGGACCAGGACACCCTTCATTAACTATACCACATTGCGGAAACGGAAACTGGTAAATTATAAATTTAAAAAAAATAGGATCAGGCATGTCCGGAAATATCTCTTACAATTTAGTGCTAGGGGTTAACATGATACAGAATGTTCTATCACGGCATAATACCATTTTAAAGTAATCTGTCGTTCGTCATGCAGAGGGCATCCTGACGTCTGGGTAATCATTTTTGAAGTATTAAAACATTTATTCAAGACATTATGCTCATACCTTAAAGCGTCTTTTCTCATTATCTTTAAATTCCTGTTTAAATAATTGTGCAATGTATCGGTGCGAGACATATGTTAAGCCATTGCATTTTAGCAAGACCTAATAACAAAACTTGAATAAGAGAGAAAAGTGCCAAAATCCCACAGCGCACTACGTTTTTGGGGCAAACGGGGCTGCCGTGGCCGCCGGGAACATAATGCAAACCTAGCATTACATAGATTTAGACATAGATGTTTCATCACTATGTTCCGATGTATTGTCAGAGACGAGTTTTTTGCCATGGGGATCTATGGTTCGAATCATGTGGTGTTGACGTCTATGAAGTATGGGTCCTCAGACAAATTTAATGAAGTGCGAAGCAATGCCATTTTCGTTCGAAATTCGTTAGTGAACAGGAAAATCTAGCAAAACAACCGCAAAACAACAAACAGAGTTTATTTCGAAATAATGTTACCGAGGGTTGTTAAATATATATTGCATATGGGTTCACAAAGAACAGCCAATGGTATGTTTAATTAACGTTTCGACGACTAGCACTAGGTGTACTCTGTCACCTACATCAGATAGATGGCCAGTAAAGAGTATGAACACTTAGGTGTTTACCGTGTACGAGATGACTTGAACCAACAAAGCTTTGTCTAACACTTGGTCAAAGATGTGTGGGAGATTGTCACATACAACCATGACGTAGCTGTGGTCGCTGCCAAACCACACGAGTCCTTATCACCTGACACTGTATCGATAAAAAAAACGTGTACATGAAACGTTTAAATGAGCGAGCGTTCAACACGACCAAACAACGTCATTTTACTGATTTAAATCGTCTAGGAGAGAGATGTAGCTTTGAGTTACACACTGAATGTGAAGTAAACATGTTCAAAAAAGAATTCGACAAATAATAATAAAACGTTACTCACTAAGGGTTTGAATTATGATATCGCCCTTGACAAAATAAAATACCAACTACATGTAGCAATAAAATCTAGGACCGTATCGCACTTAAATTTCTGTTTATTTTGTTTGTGTTTTACGTCCTATTAACAGCTATGGTCATTAAAGGACGTGCCAGGTTTTGCTGTTGGAGGAAAGCCGGAGAAAAAACCGACCTAAGGCCAGTACACTGCGACTGCTCATTGTAGGCTTGGTTTAGTTTGTTTAGCATTGTTTAATTAACGTCCTATCAAAGCTATGATCACTTAAGGACGGTCAACGTATGCTTCGAACCCGCGACCCAGTGGTGGAGGGCTAGTGGTAATAATATGTTAGACGCCTTAACCAATTGGCGAAAGCGGCCCCTTCGCATTTGAACCAACATTTCTCTTGATGTTATAAGAAATCGTTAAAGTATACATAACAACAAGGTCCAAGAAAACGAAAGAATGATATCGATGAATAATCTTGAGTAGAAACGTCATAAAACATTTTTTTTTTTTTTAAACTTGAGACCAATCAAATAGATAACCATGTACCTTTGATTTTGCTATGACATATTTCAGGGGTGCAGGGCGCGAAAGTGGACGTAACTCCGGGAGTGTCGAGAATGGCTAAGTGCCTGGGAGATTCCTATTAATGATGCATAAACTATGGATTGATTTTAGATAATTAACAAGTTATGATATACGTCTGTTAGGAGTGTGGGAACCTATTGATATTAATTTCCACGAAATTTAAAATATGCTAAGCAGACATTTTGCATATAGCATTTTCCCCGCTGATAAGTCGTCATAGACCCCGGCGATAATGAAGGCAAGATCGTGACCTTGCTTCGAAACACCACTACGTATTAAACGCTTGAGACCAATCGCAGACCAAGACAAACGAACATGGGAAATCGCTGAACTTTGACCTTAACAATAATGCCAGATCATCGTCTCGTATGATGTTTTGCCTTTCTTTAGAAACACGACGCATGACGATGCATTTAAAGCCTCTTAGCGGCTGACAGATCCTGGCGCAAGGAGACAGATCTCCAAATCGAAAACATCATTGGTTTATTACATGGCTCATAGATAATATACTTAAAATTCAGTCCCTGAGATATCATCTGTCAGTGGCTACGCAATACCTGTAGGCAATCTAATGTCTTCCTTCATAGATACTTTGTTTATGGAACATCTAATGCAAGAGGCAAAACCAATGTCCCAATGGAGTACAAGTCATACTGGCATACAGTAGCAGCATAATTTCTAGGAATAACATCAAATTCATATATGAGAAAGAAATCAACGGCACGTCAAGGTATCTGTGGGTAGATGGGAAAATACACACACGAAACAATTTGTGATTTGAAATCCAAACTACACTACCTTGTAACACAGATGTGATATAATTGTCAAAGAATAACAAGACACGGTAAGAAAAAAGAAAAGATATTTAGATATCCAGAAAAGGTTCTCAAGAATATATCGAAACGAAAAAGACTATCACGTCAAAGAAACGAATCAAAAGAAAGGTCAAGTAACCATCCCTTGCATACAAGAATTGTCCGGTACTATCCAGCGAGAGTCATGAAACCTCGCTCCCCGGTACATCATAGTAAAATGTATGGACGAAGAAAATGTCCCATAATGGGTGTAAAAAAGCGGATGCTTACGGAACTGTTACGTGTTGTTTACATATAATTGGAGAGACAAGAATATGGTATGTGTGTCCTTATCTTTGTTTTTCACAGAACAAAAAGGTGCATTTTATCTGTAAAACAGTTTAAGATTGTTGATCTAGATACTAGTATTCTAATTTGAAATAGCGACACCGATAACCATTAAAACCTTGTGTTTTGTTGCATTTCTCCCTTAAATGACTCAGAATAGAAATTAAGTTTTCACCCATAACATTCGAAGAGGATCTACCCTAAGTACGCAAGGTCACATTTTACAATTTGAATTCTGAATATCGAACTTGAACCAAGCCTGATGACGTATATACTCAATTCGATTTATGTGCAGTGTGTAAATTCCACCTTTTTGTAGACTTAGCAATTCAGAAATTATGAATAGATTGTCATCGCAAACTAAAATTGGATAAATTGGTTTATAATGTAATAAGGACACACGACTATTTATGAACCATTGGAAAACCACATTGCAGGGGTATTGAACACTTGGAGATATCTGGAATAAGCTCTCAAAAACGGTACAAAAATAGTATCAATTAAGATGAAAACGTAAGAGAGTGTGTGTACAAAATGTAATGCAAGGACTGTGACACATCGTATATCAGAGACACTGTAAAGCGATTTGGAGTCCGACATATTTAACGTCGAAAAAATATGGTCACTCAAGAGGGAAAGACGTTGAACAAATCAGAAAGAAATCAGTCAGAGTCCCAGATCAATGAATAGGCGAGCACCAATCATGTCATGCAGCAACATGATGTTATTGAATAGGATAATTTAAAAGTATTGGACAGAGAGAGCAATCTATTCAAGCGGCAGATAAAGAAAGCCATGTTGATATGCCGCAGTGGGCCAGTTCTAAATCGAGACGAGGGGGTTCCTAGACTCTCGCACATCTATGACCAGTTTTTAAGCAAAGCGTAGCAGAACGAAATTGTCGATCTGATGCGTCATTTAGAACTTGTATAACAAGTAATTGTACATACGCTTATATCGTAATCAATTTGACGTTTATTTTTACATGCCAACTTTGACATTTGTTACACCTTTATGCCCATACACTTCAATAGTAATTTGTCTAACGAAGTGGCATGGTACGTATAGTGTAAGTCATCGAAACGTCACACATACACATTTACTGGTTGTGATAATAACCTTTCTATAACTCATACTAACCAACATGTAAAAAAAAATGTTTATACATTTTTGAAAATATTGTCCAATTCTTTT